CAGCAGCGGCAGTAGAACGGCAAGCCGTAGTAGTAGTAGGAGGAGGAGGAGAAGAAGAGAGGTGATACTCGACTACCGCCTCGATACGACTATTCTTGGGGCCGACCAGAGACCGACTGCCGACTAAGGCGACCCCTGACACCGACCTGGACCCCCCACTATCGCGAACCCGCGAGGGTTTCTCGCGAGTACCACCGGTTGCCATGACTACTGAAGGTGGGGTCGAGTCCCGGGCGCGCCCCGGTCGTCCTCTCATTGGCTACGGGCTTGCCCTACCCCGGACAACCAGCACGCGTTGCCCGACCAAGTAGTTCCGTACCCACTTTGACTCCTCGATCTAGTCGTCGTTTCCCTCTTTCTCTTCTGTGATCGCTGATGAGTGGGTCTCCTTCCTTCGCTCGAGATTGTCTCACTCGCCGCATCGACGACTTGCTCACTCGCTCTCATTCTTCATCTATCTATCCGTCTGCCGTCAGTCTATTCCTGCTCTCCCTCTCCTTCGTCTTCCCTTCTCTTCTCCCCTTTTACCCTTTCTCTATCTCTCTTTTTCTCCCCATTCGCGAACTCTACGAACAAGTGCTCCGCAGTTCTCCTTATCGCGTTCCCTGTCCCTCTCCTTTTCCCTCGCGTACCATGTTCCACCACTCTACTCGTAATCTCTTCTCGCGGACTCAAGCTCTTCGGATTCTTCAACCTGCTGATCATATTATTACGCTTTTTATCAAATCGACCGCGACCGCTACCATATAGTCGTCATCGTCACCTTCTAAGCGTCCTGTCAAGCAACTTTGCCCTTCTCGGGAGGGGGATATGTTCGATTCTTTGGACTCAATCTCCAGCTCATTTTAATCCCTCGATTCCTATCGCTTCTTTCTTTCCGCTTTAACTTAATCCGTCTACGATTATTTCCGTTAAATGTTGTTCCCATTCGTTTTTGAATCTGTCACAATGAATAACATTCTTCAAGTACCTTCCAATGACTGTCTTTAGTCATTTAATATTATTCTTATCTGCATTTTTTACAAGAAAAAAAGTTCGTTGTAGTACAATTGCTTCGTAAAGATTTGTTTAAAAGCATATTATATTAGTTGACTGAAGAATAACACGAGTATAGATGAGCGATTAATATGTCATTCGGAAGTCTTCGGCTGTCACTTCTTTTCTTCTCCGGAAGAAGAGCCCAGGTGGAAAGAACGCGGTCGTCCACCCCGTCGGTGTCAGGGGCGGTCGAGGGAAGAGAGGTCAGAGCGAGAGGGCGGCAGCCAATGAGGATGTGGAGTCAAGTGGGGCGCGAAAAATGGGCCGGCCCGCCTTCCATCCACCCCCGAGAGCTAAGGGTGAGGGTAAGGGTGCGCGGAGTAGGGCTAGAGAGGGCTCCGAAGGCGGCCGGGGCATCGAGGTAGGGTCAGTCGGGTCGCAGCCCTGCACCCCTACAGCCTTGCCTGTCAAGCTCTTTGCTCTTTCCGCGCCTCTCTCTATCTCTTACTCCTCTATCTCGTTTTCTCTTACGTTTCGTCTTTCCCTTACGACGCGTGGTTCCAACGTTTTTCCCGAGCTGTTGGAATCCGATATTTTTCATGTTCCTACTTTCCCATGTTTTAATCTTAATGTAGAGTATTGATTTAAAATGATACACACATAGTCCAGTGAACGTTGAAATCCGCGATTATCAAATCTATTTACGTCATATCGAATCTTGTTTTTTATTCGGATTGCCGTCTTACTGGTTCACACATAGTATTTCCATATCATTGATTCAATGATACTTTTTCTCTCTCAGTTTCTAATATAAAAAATAAGTGAGAAGAAAACACTTCAAAATGTTCAATATTTAATTATATTTTTCCTCCTCTGAAGTATAAATTTATACTTTAGACGCAGTAAGCGTGAAAGTGTGCTAAGAAGTTAGAAATAACGAATCTCTTACATCATCAATTAGTTTATCCTACATTCTGTTATTGATAAACTATCCGCGTAACATTCTTATCGCGCAATTGCTCGCTGGTGTCTCTCCGCGTCTTAATCGATGTCGAGCCAAAGCAGGCGAGTAAGACGATCTTCTCGTCGAGCGACGAAATCGAAAGGAGGTATCCTCGACGCATGATTCGCGTGCGAGGAATTCGGCGCTCGATACAACGGCGAGAAGCTATTCTTTTATCAACGGATTGCGTGCATACGCGTGCACGCAAATAGCGGACGGCAAATAGCTAGCCAGACGATCGGAAAAACGAGAAACGAGGGTACGGAAGGCTTGAAGACGATCGAAGCGAAGCGAACCGTTGGCACTCGCGCGCTCTTGAACCGAACTCAATAAGCGTGACCTCCGACCGACAGACGCTCGATTCTCTGGCCGTTACAAGCGCCGTCGTGGATGTCGTCGAGGGTCAAATTTAGGCTGTACTCGACGCGACCGCATCGAATTTTGCGCGATCTGTTCCACCTGACGACGTCAACGCAATGTTTATCACTATCGATGTCGTGGGATCCACTAGAAAACAACATTCATGTATTAGAAAAATACATATAAAGAATTTAAAACAGTTTCTGTTCCTAAGAGACATATTTTTAATATTTTTATGTGTTTGTTAGATTCCTTATATCTTATTGAATAAATAAAATCTTGTATATTTTAAAAGAGAAATTACATTTTTGTAATTTTTAAATAATTTGGTAAAAGTATATATAAGTGAATTAAACTGCATCTAATTACTGTATATATATATATATATATATACACACACACACACACACACACACACACACACACACACACACACACACACATAAACATATAGATATATAATACATATATACGAAT